TAAAATGCCTTTTTGATTGTTTCTTCTATTGCTTTTTTATTACTGTACCAGTTTGAATTTCTTTCTTCCTTACACTCTCTTTTTTATTGTTGACCTCCTGTTATCCAATAACATATTCTATAATAAGACGAAACTAGAACATTTGTTACAAGACAGCAATAAAAAGGTGTGTAAGGGTCAGAAAACAGTGCTGAGAGAGATATTTAAAGGATACTGTTCTTTCTTACATCTGTGATAAGAGGTAAATTAACAAAACTGGTGGAGGAGAATATTGATTCTGCAAAGGTTAGTCTACAAATATAAAGCATATAGTGTCACAGAGTAAACGTGATCTGTATTATTTAAGGAAAAAGGACTAAAAGCCTTCCCGAATCCTTAAAAAGATGAAGACAATAATCTAAAAATAAGGACTTAACTGGTAACTCAGGTCTTCAAATATTCAGAATGCTAAGACCTAAGAAGCAGGAATCAACATATAGCTTTTTTTCTAACATTACAATTTAAAATTAATCTCAAAATATTGCTCAAGGGTTTCGATCCTGGCACAGAAGGAATCAAATCAGGGAAAAGCAGCAATTCCAGGTCAAGCAGCTCTAACATATTAGCCTAAATTGATAGCCTACATACAAGATTTCCGCGGTGACAAGGACATGAGCGGGCCTGCAATGAACTACATGAACCAAATATTATTGCTTTGTCAAATTGCTTAACCATAGTGGCATTAACAAAGGTATTAGAAGGTCATAAATATAACTTGTGGTAAACTGCAGGAAGCTGGTGGATTTAGTTTGTGTCTGACGTGTCGGTTTGATGGTTTGAAACCATTATAAAACAAGGTTTCTAATATCTGATATTTCAATGTTTATGTTTTATCTTTCAGATGACAGACTTTGTATGTTAGTTCACATGACTGTATAATTTCTTTTCATTGAATTAAAATGAGCAACAGCCTTTTTTTGTTATCTTTTTGTTATCTCACATCCACCACACACATGATTGTACAGAAACTGAACTTAGCTCGTTTTTGTCTTTTTCTGATTTAGTCATTGGACTTCAACCCAGTGCAATCAATCAATGTCTCTCTGGAAAGATGGACTGTGCTGTTGTCCATCGCTCTTTCCAATTTAGCCATGGTTGGCAGCATCGTATCTCCTCCTTGATCTTCTTTCAAGAATCTTCAGCATTTTGTGGTTATCGGTGAAATTAATGCTGCAAAGGGAGTTAAGGGCTAAACATTCTAACAGTCTATCCTCAAAGAGCACTTGATTATATACACAGAAAGTGACGGCAGTACTTGTGTGTAGAAGGAGTCTCATCAACACTGAACATGTTAAAGAGGGTTTGGATCATGACTATGGTAGAAAAAGCTTTGAACGGACATTGGGGAGCTACAACAGAACCTATCCTAGTGTATGTACAGTCAGTCTCTACTACCTAAACAGTTCCAGTTCCAACTGCCAACCAAAAAATATTTTTAATATATTTTAAGAACCTCCTTAGTACCATACAATAGTATACAGTCAATCAAATAGTTCCATTTTTTCTGCTTTTGTCTTCAACCATTCGGCTGAAGTTCTTGTACAAGATCTTTAATTTTTACCTTCTAGGAGTTGCATCTAAAAAGTCATGTTGTTCTGATTTTAAAAGTTTAAAAAGATCTGCTACCATACAATGTACTTCACACATTTGTTCCTTTATCCTCATTGTGATGGAGCTGCTGTTGCAGCTCATTTCAGTTCAGAGTGTAATTTTAAACGTGATTTTCTTGCTAATCCTCCTAGCGCTGACACTATGGTTTGGTCCCTCCTGCAGGAGTCACCCTCTTTGTGGCACTTTATGACTACGA